TCTCTCAATTTCCAAAGGATATTGGAGACGACACAGATAAGTTACTTTTTAGGCACAATTGTTCTTACCTTTTGTGGGAAAGGAGGTCAGAATACATGAAAGCAACATATAAATAACAACATTCAGAGTATGATTGATTTCAGAGAGGGTTTGGAGTCTTTAAAGCCCCACTGCAACCCCATGTTAAAAACTTCCTCAAGGTAAGCACATATATATCCTGGGGCCAGAAAGCAGGGTGGATTCATATGGAAGGCATTCTTTCTCAGCAAAAGCTAAGCTTACCTTAGACAACAGGGGCATGAGCCAGGAGCATCTGGGTCTCTCTTTCAAAAGAGACAGGTGCACATTTCTGTCCTCCAGAGTTGTAGAGAGATCCTTGGTGCTCTTCTCAAGGTGGCTTTGGGAGTTGACAAGGTATATGGAGTTAGTAACTGCTGACCGTAAGCAGTAGCCTGGAAGGTCTTCTGTGCCTGTCCAAAGCCTTCATAAGAGGAAGGTTATCATGGAAAGGAAGTGGAAATCAAGGCCTAGCTATGAGGAAGGAAGATGGCTTTATTGCCAGATGATCCTGAGCAAAGAAAGGTGAAAACATTTCTAGTGTGAAACCTCCATCTAAAGCCCTTCATGCATTTTTGCCCACACCTGGGGAGCCTTGGATGCAAACACTTGGAAGAGCACCAAGGACATACCTTTAGAAGGCAGACAGGTCCAATGCTATTGGTTGAGTTGAATCTCTTCCCTCTTCCAGTCAACCAGCATCACTTACAATGAAAGTGAAACAGCAACCATGTTCCAGAAACATATCAGTAGCTCATTTCTTTATCTTACCTAATAGATTTTTTGGTCTTTGCAAGATAACCCAAGAAAGACACACTCCTCCTCCTCCCTCTCAGAACTGCTTGGACTTTACAGCCACCACAGCCAACTGTGCGGATGTCTCTTCCCAAATGTAGACTGGCAATTTGGGAGCACTCTAGGAGCTCTCATCTCATTTCCCATCTGAATTCATCTGTTTATTCTCCATATCATCTCCAAAAAGAAAAGCAAACCAAAACTAATTTCTGTCACTTTACCTATCATCAAACGAACAGCAGGGACTTCCTTATGGCATTATTCAGTGTCTGGTGCCTTCCTTGAAGCTCTCGCTGGAAAATGATTGTTTCTTTAACTTCTAGAGCACCTTGTTCCTCAAATATGTTTTTAGTACAGGAGAACGTAACAAATGATACTGTGTCTCATCTCCCTTGTGAACAATTTGAAAAGATTTTACATTTTATTCATCTTTATTCTCTGAGTCATTTTTAATTGCAAATACTTTTAACAATGCTGCTTTAGGAAACTAAACATGTTCAAATTATGTATACCAGTGAAACACAGCCCCATGGGCACTGTTTGCTTATATAAGGTCACAAAAAATAGATCCATGACAAAAGGAGTCTTTGGACAGATCTACTTTGGGATAATCATTAACATCATAATCACTGCCTCTGCCATTAGTTATTGCCTCATGAACAAATGCAGAGAAATTTCTAGACAACTGCATTTGTTTTAACTGAGTAAGGAAAAAAGACAAAACAAACCAAAACAAAACAAAAAAACAAAAGGGAGAGATTGCCAGAGCCCTGCTAAAATCCAGGCCCTGGTAAAGCTAAGGATGTGCTGATCAAGCAAAAGCCCCTAATCTTCGCACAAAGGCCTCCAAGGTGAGTCAGCAGAAAGGGGCTAATCCCCAGAAGGGACTGAGCACTAAAGCTTTAGAGGCTACACAGCCA